AAACCAAGGGAACTACAGGGCCTGAAATGAAATACTGTGAGTACCATCAGGGATATGGCCATAAGGACTGAAGCATGCTGGAACGCTCAAGAACCGCAATATCCAGGACTCTGTGGATAACCGGTTCAATTATTCCCAGAAGCAAGCCTAACATAGCATTAAAACCCCTTACCCAAATCACGGGGTAAATTGCTAATAATGGCTGACCAGGAACTGATCGATCTTTCGAACTGTTCCTAACGAAAATGAATTAACATCTGTGTCCTGGATCTGAATGACTAACTGAAGAGGTCGACGCCATCACCAGGAGCAGAAGCATAAGTGAACCATTTGGTCTAGATAAAATTCAAAATAAGCCCTCACCAGAGGGGCAGAGGAGCCAAGGAGGACCCGGTACTTTCCAACAACTAAAAAAGACACAAGCCTAGGGTGTCAATCTGGGAACTTTTGGCATCATCCTTTTCCTCATCGCCAAGCTCTTTGCAAGGCTTTGAGCCAACTTCAGACATCCGGTGGAAGGTTAAGCCTAAAGTGCTTCAGTATCCACCCTCAACCCAATCATCTAAAAATGCAAAGCCATCGGGTTCTCCTGATGATGACTGCCCCAAGGAGGGAAGGTAGTCATAACAATGCCCTTCTATGTCAACTATCCAGACCAGAGACAAAATGTGCCCCATGGTTTCCTCTTCATTGATAATGGGTCGCATCTGAAACGTCTGCCCCACTAAAGAGTAGCCAGGCTGTCTGGGGTTGGAAGAAACAGATTTCACTCATCGGACCAAGATAGTGGAAAGCCTATGACAGCACCGAGGGCAGTGTTGGGGGTTGCACCAACGCTGAAGTTAACGGTTTTGGGCCCTGCTATGAATGGAAGTCCCGTTCCAGGTATTATTGTAACGACTTAGGCTTCAACCTGCTTTCTGGCCGACCATGGATACACCACACTAAGGCAGTACCTCGTCCTTGCACCAAAAAGGTCAAGTTCCCCTAAATGAAGGACAAAGTTTATCCCAATTCAGGGGGATGACTAACAGCCAGCTTAAGAAAACCAAA